ACTAATAAATGTAAAATCTCTAGTTTAGTTATTTTCGTTTCAGTGACCTATTTCGCATCTTTGGATTTTATTTTTTTAGGTTGTGCATCCCTTTCAAGCCATTACATTCTAAATAGATGGAAACGTGGAGACGTGTTTGTTCTCATCATAACTCGTTCGAAGTGCATAATCTTGTTACGGTCGAGATCTGAGTCGTTTTTTTCATATGAACGCTGGCGGTGCTACAAGTGGATCATAAAATTACACTGGGATTGACCAAAATTAGCAGGAGGTCTCAGTTAGGGAGACGTTCAGGTTTTTCCCGATTGTCCCGCGGGACGACTACGTCACTTCCGCCAAATAGGCAGTTTCAATCTATTTGCTTCACAAATCACAATAAACCGGAGCTTCGCCGGATTTCCTTTCTTTGTATTGGTCCATCACTCGCAACCGACTATGTTTGAACACCTCGAAGAGATTTTCCATCCTGTCCAACTAAGGATAGAAAGTCCCAGTTCTTTGTTTCACTGCTATCGGACCTCAGAAGTCATGTTTATGTGTATATGTGTTCAGCACTTCTATTTTAAGTAAAACAATCCGGATAAATTCACTCATAGAGCTATGAATCACAGAGTACAAATTGAGTTACCCAAATCACTAGGCCTGGTATCAAAGAAATGAAATCTATTAGCCTTCAAGTACTTAACGGGGACCTTGCGATGATGACACTCGGAAATTTTCTTGAATGGCAGCACGAATTCACATCGACTGAACTCAGCACATATGACAAAGGATGTCACTTTTCAGAACCTCCAATATAAAGCATGTGACTTCCTGTAACTGGATTGACCTAGGTTCAACTTAGCACTAAGTCCCAAAGTACCTACTTAGCGAAAGCTTGTAAGCATCCAGCTTTGGTGGAATCCTGTCTTGTACGTGCAATCACAGCATTCTACCCTCATTATCCTCCTTACCACTGCCGCAGTTTCAAACACGCTAGGGGGCACCAGTTCATTTCACCAAATCACGGAAGCTGCTATTTAGTGAATAAATATATGCCCCTTACAACTATG